TCGAGAAGAAAACAAGCCTGTCAGAAAGGGGAGGAAAAACTGCATTGAATCACAGCTTAGTTGCTCGTCTTTCGATGTTCACAAGATTTCACGAGGTTTGGGATGCTAAATATGAAATTAGTAGCATCGGAGGTAATTATGAAATTTGATAAACCCCGTTATAGCTGCCGAAAAACGCATACTACTGCATTTTGTCCACTCTATTCGAATATTTTTCAAACTCTTTCACAAAAGTTTGGAATGAAAATTCTGAAAGATAGCTAAGTAGGAAGTAAGGAGCACTGGTTAAGAATTCCGCGATTATCCGGACGATCATCAAAGGACTCGGAACGAAAACATTACTGCTAGAAAGAGAAAAAATCATGCAACGGGCCTGTTAAAAGCATTCGCCTCCATTTCTGAGTGAGTGGTCCGAAAACGGCACGAAATTTCGGACCGACCCAAAAATTGGTTGACTACAGGCAAAATATCACATTCGGTATGTATACTCGTAAGGCTAGCAATTTCTGTGGGCAAATGGTTTGCAGAAAGCATCAATTTCGCGGATGGAGTAATTGAATGAGTAAGAAGATGTGAGACAGATCAAAGGAGGTTTTGTGCATCAGTTTACAGTCGAATCATTTAATACGATCATGTGTGCATTGCATATACTGTCCCTCTTTGGCGTCCTCATCATGGATTTGCAATCGCAAAAACATAAGGGACTTATCGATCGTTATGACATCATTTTGAGGTGAATAGTAACTAAAAAGAAAAGAAAACGTTATGAACAGGTCGAAAAGGCTTACCGGAGGGGTTGTCTGCTCCAAAGAATCCAGGATGGGAACGCCAATGGTGGACATGCAGCGATACACATGATCATATGAAATGATTCGACTGTAGTTAGAAACAAATTTATATGTTATGTAGCATTGAACGAAATTTACGTTCTTGCTCCTCATATTTATGCTATATCTCATGCTATATCCGCTAAGAATTTTCAGTATCAGCGCGAAGAAGAGTATGTTTGCCCTACTTCCCTATAAAATATAGAATGTCTTTTCATAAAGTACGTACGAGCATTCGTCAAAATATATTCTTTGCGCAGCGTTTGTCATATCAACTTGTCTCCCGGGGTTGATGCGTTTCGATTTTTTGTCGTTTACAGAGATGCGTCGACTAAACGTCGCATGAAATATCACCGCGTAATCCCTTGGGGTGGCCCGTCTCGACCTCGACACCCGTTGCGAGGCTTTAGTAACACGAAAGTGGTTATCGGCGGAAGATAGAGTGCAACAAAGTCAAGCACTTGTTTGGAACAAATCTAAACAGAAGAGCACAGGATCAGATTTAAAGCTTAGTAATTTGCTCATCCTGATTAGAGATGATTCATTACAAAGCAGTATTTTACCTATGCCAAATCACGGCATGTATCAATCTGCGATTGAAAAATGACAGGTGAGGTGCTCCATGAATAGACTACGCATAAAGAAAATTTCTTAGAGTTTTTTATTTTATAAATACATCCGAAATGCACCAAAGAGAATAAGAAATTGATAAGAAAGTTCGAACAACGCACGAGACCAGCCAGTCCTCAGCCTCAGGGTGAGAAAGAAAATTGAGGATGATTAGCGAGACACTATGCCTTAGACCCATCTCAGTAAAGTTCAGAATATGCTTGGAATTATTTGGTAAAAAGCTCCAAGACAGCTGTGTCTGCGTAACAGTGGCAGAGTCAACATTAACAAAGGCCATGACAAGGGAAAGCAAGCCGCCTCACTTAGTCGAAGCTGAGCGACATCGAAAGCAAAATTTGAATGCATAAGATTTTTAACATATTGACGATTTGATTTATAAGAGCTATGTCTCCTCCATATCTGTGTAAAATACTAAAGGGGAACTTAATATTTGTATTTCGCATAAAATCGCCATCGGCACGGCGACGTCTTACCCTGCCTCCAACATGAACTGCTCATCCACTGCATAATACATTACTTGCGTACAAGTAAATCTCGTAATTTTCAAAATTGGATGTACATATCTCCATGCTTTTGAATCCACCTACATAGTACCAGTCGCTGACTTTATGCAAAGCCTTCCGAAGCATGTTTAACTACCTTTTACCCTTATTGCGTTCAAAGCTGACCGAATCAGTAAAATGCGAATGTTCAAAACATTTTGGTTACAAATCTCTGAACGATGTAAATATTTTGATCCAAATTCCTGCTAATTAATACCTTAATTCTCAAAGTTTGAAATCGTAAGTATTGGCTTTGATTAGCTAGCAAGACCACCACCTACTCACGCCTTTGAATGAAAAAAAAATTAGAGCAAATCCGAGACGGTAGATTTTTTGGTAGTGGGAAATTAAAACTGAGATAGTATGCGATCATCACAAATAACTTCTTTAGGCACTCCAGTTTTTGTCCAAAAATCACTTCAATATATTGTATTATCACTTTGTATGCATATACCATGATTTTCAGCTTCTTTATCTTATCTGCACTAAATTCTAGCATTTTTCCATCGAAATTAGTTTCCGACAAAGCTGACAAGTTGAATTGCGAAGAAGCTAAAAATCAATTGTAGATGTCTCTAAGAGTGAAAAGATTTTCTACCTTTTTCCTTTTTTGCATCAACGGCACCTTTATCACTTTAGGCAGATTTAAGCTTGCCGTATGAAATAATTTTGCATTTTGCAGTTTAATGGATTATTTGCAGAAGGGCTAACAGTTTTCACGGTGTTCACTAGGATTTGATGATGATGGAAATAGATACGAAGCAGAAAAATATTCAAGCAAGAATTTAAAAAATGACAAGAAAATAGTTAAATTGACTGCAAACTGTACGTACCTGAATCAGAAGTGGCCACAGAAAATATGGTCGAGGCCTCGAGACAAAGGCGAAGGGCAGCGAAACAGTTAATGATATAATATGCGACACACACCAAGCCAATCTTCCAAATCCGCCATCCAAATATTCCGCAACACAACCGCGGATGCCCCACAATGAGTGAAAAAGCCCAACATCGAAAATGATGGCATCGGCAGCTTCTAGTGGCAGTGAACCCTCGAGGAAATCGCAGCGAAGTATCTGGAAAAGAATGGTTCAACTTTTTGAAGTTGATATGCAAAACCATATCCTCATTGTTCAATTCAATTGCAGCGTAATAGTTTGACCATTGCATGACGCCTACCCCAGCTAGTACACTGACCCAAAATTGTGTAATATGTGATTGCACACAATCTGTACAATCACCTCAGACCTGGACCGCGTTGACCATTTTGACATGTTTATCATGAAAACGTATTGAATTTTTGTAATGCTCAAAAAACGAAAATAGAAGAAGGAAAAAGCCTCCACTCGTATTAGTGTTTTTATGGCCTGCAAACTCTTGGATTCTGCTACAATGTGCATGTTGTTTACAGATTCAGGTATTGCGTTACTCATCGTTGATGTATATTCTAAGGACGAATTCTTGATCTCTGCCAGACTCGAATAACGAAGTTTTCATATTATGACAAATGATTAGCATGCTCTGGGTTTGAGCCTCATAATGATAAAAAAATTCGAACAAGGATTAGTCGAAGTGCTTTCTCGGTATGAGAGAAATAATGAATTCTAACGTGCGAGATGTATCTTTTGAATCATGTTCGAGCGACTTGAACGACTGCAATCCTTCCAATAAACCAGTTTGGTAGAATGCTATTTACCAAAACCTCGATACTCGACACAACAATTTTTTTGAAATCATTCGCTATTCTACGGCACTGTCATCATAATAAGCAACATCTTAGGTGTCTTCTGTAAGATAATGATTAATCGTACGGAATAGAGCGCAGAACTTTATCAATTAGGCCCAATTTCTTGTTCAGCATAACTATTAGTCGCGTACGTGCGTTCTTTTCACAAGTTTTCAGTTTGTTTCGTTTTTCGAATGTATAGTATGCCAGTCACAGCAGAAATTCCCTAGCCACGGTGTACGCCTTACTCAAGAACTAGTACGCTTTATTACTGGAACTTGCTAAAATGACTACAACTGGCTGGAACCAATATGTTGTCTATCGTCATTTTTTTTTCCTTCACAAGCCCACTTAAGATGCAGGCTAAGTCAAATTTGCACTTTTTGCCCCATTAATGCTTCAGAGATGACCAAGAATTTTACAACAGAAGATAAACTGCGTAGCAGAGCTTTTCTTGACTTTATAACTGCAGTGTACTTGATAGTTAAGAATAAGTTTCACAAACTTTTCAATGATGCAAAAAATGGAAATATACCCTACCGCAAGTGATAGACTTTCTTTCCAAAATGTCCAAACTTCATGGATTTCTCCGGCATTGAGCGGGTGCAATTACTTTCAATAACACGCACAAAATTTGATTCAATAGCTTAGAGGCAAAAATTGTCATATGAGGCCTTAGAATATTGCGAATCCTAAGAATGGTTTTTGGATTTTTTTTTTGCACTACTGGCCTCTTCTCTAATCAGCTGTTGTGCTTATTTGAATTTGAGTGAACACAGTGGTTTGAATAGAAATCGCGGTAAGCGAGAGAGCGCACTTTATGTGACAGATGTTTCGCACGCGTTTGATGTTACCTTGTGATAATGAATGAATGAATAGCAGTGCTGGGCGACACCCCATATGCAGACGAACGTTTGTAACAAGCCGATCCAAAGACAGATTTGCGAATTGAGGAAACGATGCCCGACTAGTTTTGTCCATTCATCGCGCACCGTCACCAAGCCCATCAATGGGGATAAGCGGCGTGGAGACGATGCGGGTACTGACGGCGAAGCAGATGGAATTCGTGGTAGTCAGCACTTGCGCTACACATACGAGGAAGTAAGCTACCCGGCTTGATCGCCGATGAGGGAGGAGACTATCAAGTCACATTTTGTTTCGTCCTACTCCTCGTCTTCGCATATCCTTCATTTGTTTTACTGCAACGGCCGTAAACGGCTGCTCTGCTGCCAACACAATTCCCGAGAGACGCAATAGAATTTATCTTATCAAACAGGCGCGCACACACACACGAATACAAACACAACGAATTTTGCAGTGAACGAGGAACGAAAAAGATCCATAATGAGACTCAATTATTAACAATTATCTTATAATGGTAGTACGAACATTGTATCCAGTGACAACAAAAATGAAAGTTGCATGATAACAGGAGCAATATAAAAACATACATGCATATTCTTTGGTGAAGGAGTATTTATGCGATAAACGAATGAATTATGCATTCCAAAAAGGAGTGAAATTCGAAAAGCATTCTAATTTACTTCGTATATATTGTCCGAAATCCCAACCCGAAATTCACACAAGTTAAATAGACCGGTGTTTACTTGATGGTGGTAGGGTACGGTCTTGAAAGACGTGACTTTGAACGTTTCGTATACCAGGATGTAGTTCTGTGACTAGGACAAAATTAATATGCTGACACCCACCCTGATAAGCAGGCTGCTTTCGAGTTTAGCGAATTTTAAGGGATGCAGATAATCAACTACTGAATACCTGCATTTTGTAAGAAACAATATTTGAACTAGAAGCTGCAGCGCTCCAGTTTTGCAATAGCAGATTACCAGTATTGTCACTGCAACAATGCCGATATGTACAAAAAAAAGTTACTCCATCGTTTCTGTTTTTAGCAGAGTTGGACGAAGTTGGTCATATGTCATCGGAATCAGACTATGATCATTTGATTCAAGCTGCTGCTCACTACTGCAGAGCTCATTGATTACAGGCAGTTGACCGTTGAGCAACTGTAAACCGGGGGAGATGAGCGAATCCATAATGCTCACAGGTGGTGCTGTAGCAGAATTAGCACCAGGTAGGATTTGATTTGTCAGCGAACCCAGGGCTAAGGGAGATTGCGAGTCATTACTATAGCATGCTAAATTATGGCTAGCTGCCAGTATCTGAGATGCTAAGGTAGCTATCGGAAGCGCCTGGGAGAATGGCGTATCGGATGCGGTGGTGGTTTCAGCAGATGAAGTTGGTAGCTGCGGAAAGGTGATGCCCAATCGAGCCGCCAGAGCCACCACATCCAGTGGGCGAGTTTCGGTCTCTTGTTGATCCATCGGTTCACTCTCCTCCATTATTGGAGAAGGTGTTGACCCAACACCAGAACTCTAAATAACGACGAAGTTACTGACTAACAAGTGAATTTAAAATTTTCAACCTAACCGTTGCCTCCTCATTAGCTGCATTGGCTGCGGTGGCCGCCTGACTGGCTACGGTGGCTACAGCCGCTGCAGCTTCGCTGGCTTCTTGTGAACGTCTTCTCAGTTCCTTTCGCTTGTTCGCGAACCAGTTGGCCACTACTTGAGGTGAAACAACTTCTTTTGGCATCAGCCCAACTCCTGCAATATAATTACAGTATACATCGTCTTTTTTTTTTCGAAAAAAGCCCTCTCCCCACATATCGACCACTTTTCACGTCTGACTTTTTTGCTGTGTTACGCACATGGTGTGATAAGCAAACAGTTATATTTGCGTGTTCATTGCTTAATTAAGACTAAGCACTGTGATGCATACCTCTTTTTTCAATCTGCAGAACTTGATTACAGGTAGTAGCAATTTCCACTCTTTTATTGAGGTCCGGGAATGGCGATTGAGCAAAAAAGCCTTCGAGTATCTTGATGAGAATTGGGCGAAATACATAACGTTCTCTTCGTTGGGGAACCAGCTCGCCGTCACCGTTGGTCTCCAGGCGAGTTGCAGGATCAGCAAAGAAGACCGCTGAAAAATACCAATCAAAATGCAGAAAGTTCGAAGAGTTTGCGTTTTACTCTTAGTCTCGGCATACATGGCATACACCAAGTTAGAAGCAGCTGAGATTAATGTTTTGTTGTATCCTGAAATGGCTTTCAAACTTTTGTGACTTCCCCTTCTCAAATAGATATAAGCTCGGTGGACCATTATTCACAAGAGCTTCCGGAAAACTTTATCACTTCTACCTCGTAATGTTGTTAATGGGTTTTAGGTCAGAACATTCTTCCATTGTCCCTGCGGAAGCAACATAAGCTTACAATGACGTGAAATGATTTGTTCAGTGCCATTGGGATTCGAGCGATATTTCTACACAATCAACTAACAATCCCGGCAAGAATGAAAACATAACCTAATGGTTGTTAATTGTATTGAATGAATGGAGAAGCTGCCGTACGACAGAAAATAGCCTCTTTCAAGAACGTAAACAGTACTTTTGCTGGCATATAACCATCTCACAGCGTGCAAACTACAATTTTTCATTAGTGATTTGCGGTAAAAGTTTAAAGCAACTCAAGCACGAATATATCACTTCTACACACAGAAAGACGTTTCATACTTGACATTTACTACTCATTATATAAACAAGTGTACCCAAAAGTAACCGTTCCTGTCCACTTCTTACTGATCGTGAGCACATTCAGTGTATCAAAGATAAGTGCCCCGAAGTTGTTTTAACACTCCAATGTATGTGTGTTAGAATCAATTTTAACGTCTAGAATTGGGAGTTGATGCTAATGTGCGGGAGATTTGCTCAGTGGGGAGGGGAGGGGGGGGGGGGAGTAAGAGCGAAGAGGAGAGCATACCAGTAAGAAAAGGTTGGATTATCAAGATTATGACGACGTACAAAGACGTTGATTACTTTCCTCCCAACACAGGAGAAGCAGAAGTGGCCACGAAACACAGTCTATCAACCCAAGCTCATTTGAGGTCAAAACTGGGGTGATTAATCTAGGCCACGGCACAGAATAGCCTGGAAGCAGTCTGGACTTCGTTTTCGGAGCGAAAAAGCAAAGGGGATATCGCTTTTGTGGGTCCAAAGTAAATTAAAAATGGGTTTTTTAGTCGATGTTTCCGATTTTGGGTCAAAGAGGACTGCGTAGAATTTTGTGAAAGTCAGGGGGATTTCATTTTCAAAAAGCCTAGAAACGGACTCGTGCTTGGCCCTGAACTCCTTCGATGATTGAGGGGATAAGATGAAAGAATTTTTGGTATTGCTCAAAATCTATTGCTTATGAAAATTTCAAATGCAGATTTACCATCATTAGGCTAGGAAACTCGAAACCGCTGTAATTGCCTAAACAAGTTTGACAGTGTCATTAGCAAATTTTAATTGTGATTTGTTTTGTCCAGGATTCTTCTACAATCAAGGAAGAGAAAAGAGTAAGCAAGAGCAAGCTTGTCAAGCATTATGTTCAAAGCGTTAACGAGTCTCCTAGTCCTATAATCTGATTTTACAATTGTTATGGCAAGGTTTTGGCTTTTTATACTTTCGATAAATGCGTCTCATGGATAAACCTTGGTTTTGCTTCACGCTAGAAGTAACTAACGCTATCTAACAGCTTAGCTCAGAAAAAAGTTTACCGATGTACTGTAAAAGAATAAAGATAAAGCATTCGAAGAAAACGAGATTTGGACATTCCCTCGACTGAGCATCTCTAGTTGTTGTAGTTAAAGTTAAAAAAGAACTGGAGTATGCTAGGAACTGTGTTCTCCAAATTTAAAGGCTTGTGTCATAAATAAGTACCTATGAACCTGCATGGGACTAGATCTCGAGTAAACAAGCATTCAGTGCGATAGCGACAACTGCAGAAGTTTTACCATCATGCATTTTGACAAAATTATTACAGACAAAAGCATGAATTCTGGAGTGGAATTTTTTTTAAATGTTCACCTTATGAGTTGTTGAGTTTCTATGGAAAGCGCCAAAAAAAGTAACAGTTGCCCAAGCACAAGTTTGGATTGATTTGGATGCCACACATCGAATATGTTTTAGGTAGCTTTTTTGTGCGTTTACGGCGACTTGAATAGACCAAATATACTTGAATCCGATTTTTGCAACAACGCAAAGAACGCAATTGACGTTTTGCTTCACATCTGTAGGAAAACAAAAAAAAGTCTGGTTCAGTTCTTTCCACGCCAGTGAGCTCCAACGTCAATAGAACGAAAATCGATGAAAAAACAACCATTATGGCCCACTATTTGCTCTTTTTTCTACCGTTTTTTCGGGGATTTTTTCAACTAGCGAGGAATACTGTAATCAAATAGTTCCCGTACAGTGCATGACTGTATAAATATATGGAAAGATGTTGAATGTTTAGTTCATATCATGCACTCTGGTGATATGATTTTGACGAGAGTGTGACGATGAAGTCTGATACGACAAATTAACTATCGAAAAAATAGCTGAGCAGCAACAGAATGTTTCATAAGTATATTTTTCATGGATCAGAGCCCTTCATTTTACCTTGCACGTGATTTAGACTTTCACATAGAAGAAAGGCTCTCATTAAACATCCTTCGAGATTTTTTCTGTTCAGGGTCTGCAATGACTTAACAAGCATCTACAGCTCTAAATAATTTTTTGATCAATAATTCTCTATTCAAACTGCTTGTGGTGACTGTTGACCTAACATAATGTTCCCTCTACTTTGACAAATTCCCCTTCTCTCGTTCCCTTGCTCTGCCCAATCCCCATGCCCTTTTCACTCGTATTTCCCCCGTCATCTCATTATTCGTGATAACTTCGCATACTCCCCGCATAGGGACCGTGCGCGCATGTGCATGATGCGTAAGTGCAACGATATGTGCACTTATATGTACATTCAAAAGAGTTTAATTCACCTACAGACTTATGCGCATACGCGCTGATGGAGATACTAACGCTAAAGTGCAGCTGCGAACTCTAACCACACGTCATTGCTTTTTGCCTTTTTTCCTTTCCTACAACATTTTGTTCATATCTTTTCAAATCATCTTAGAACAGGAATAGCAAAAGTTATGATAATTTTGAAAGTAAATTTGCTTTGCAAAAGCCTTCTAAACATAATAAGCGAATCATTATCACGTTGGCTTGTGCTGCAAAATATAATCAACATCAAAGGGCAGGTGCACCTGCGCTGAACTTAATGCATATAACTACGAATTGGATCACATCGATTACTAGTGACTTGCGTAAGTGCATAAGCTGTTTATATTCTCAAAACTTGAGTAAACTGATTGTGGTCACTAGATTAGGCCGTAATCTTTGTCCAAAAGTGCACTTGCGAGGGAGCGGTAAACAGGCGCAAAGAGCTAAAGTAAATGGCTATGAATGAATATTTTGGAGCATTGTTAATTGTGTGAATTTGAATAGACTAGAAGAAGTACTCTCGCACAAATGTGACTTTTACGAACGAACTTATTTTGACCGTAAAAAGCAAATATCTGATGATGAGAGGTGGAAATTGCAAAAGTTCGCTTAGGTAAGTGAGCAGAGCTCTTCCCATGACTTGCACAGTGCCACACTGAAGCAGTAAAGATCATCTCTTTGAGGTAAAGAGCTTTCTTATTAGCATAGAACAAAGGTATATCAAAAGAATTTGCAAATTTCACACCGAAGTGTAATGAACACTAGCAAGAATATTTTTTCTCCTCTATCATATTCAAAAGCATCAAATTTTTGGAAAAGGAGTGCTAAAGCTTACGATTTCAAGAGCGGGCATAAAACAGCCGTTTAGAAAATTATCAAAAGTTGTTTTGACTCCAAAATGTATCTTTTGACTATGTATAAATCAAAGAATACGATCATGCATACTGCTGATTTTTCTGCAAACTGGAGAAAATGGCATATTCCCTTTTCTCCATAAAATAGAGAATATCAGGAATGGTTGGTAGTTGTTCAAAATTGAAATGTTGGTGAAAGACTCGTGGACTAACCCAGTACTATATGAATTCAATTCAAAAGCCCTCGCACTGCTACCATCGCTGAATTCGATAATTATGGAACCTTGCTTTATCAAACAATGATATACTAGTGATGAGGTTGACTTGACTTCTTCCCATAGATATTCAGAGGATTAATACGCTCACTCAAAATTGCTCCGATTAATAGTTGAACGTGTTATTTGCATTTAAATAGAGCAAAATCAGCAGAAAGCAGCGGACTTAGCTAAATGTAATGCATAGGTCATTGTTAACAAGCTAGGATTTACGCCATTTGGGGCTCTTTCTTCGAAACACAGTGCTGATCTAGATGTAAGAGTTTTTACGACTCTATTTTAAACTTAACTGTGATAATTAACTGAAACCTATTTCTTTCATCTTATACTCCCTTTATGAGGTGTATTTATGAACTTAATTCTCCTGTTGAAAGAAGGGATATTGGAAGACTGAATGGTTAGTCAGAAGGCTATTTGAGGTCTATCGCTAAATGAATAACAAATGCATGAAAACTGCATATTCTTGCACTTGACATCGTTTATTATCAAGCGGCAAGATCATTATGAAGTCATATATCTTAAACGACAACTCGAGTGTTGTCCTCGCAGTGTTTCTCATTTCGTATTTATTGCAAATGTACCTAGCACGTACACGCACATATATGCATGGTACATTATGTTCGTGTATGTTGTCCATTTGCAATGTTTCTGTGCAAACCTGACGCTTTTGCGAAGTTTTTTTTTCGCGAAGCCTATTGAGTCGCTGTGAGCTTAGAAAAGTACATAGGAGTAGCGATGGTGTTCTCATTAGCATAGCAATGATAGTGAAGTATCAGCACGATAGGACGTCGTCACCTGACGATTTGTAAACTACGGCGGATAAGTGGGAAATCTTTCTACACTTCTGAACAACAGCAAAGTTCAAATGGATTTGTACAGGAAGTGTATAAAAAAAGCTGGGTGCGATCTGGTTGCTAGGATAGCTTCGAATGGTAGAGAAGATTTGCTGGATTTGTGGCAAGTTTATATAACGAATTAACTATGCTGCGGAAAGAAGATACGTTAAACCTCTTCGCTATTATGGAGTCAGCGATGCAGAAAGGAACATTATTTTCTCAAACAAACCGCTCAAACTGAGCATTTCAACAAAACATGTTTAATATCCTCTCCTTCTTTGATATACTCTAGATGACCCAAATTTATATGAATGAATTTGAATATTACTTTCTACGATTGTGCATGGTACGATCGATATAGATTCATGTCCACCGCAAGATATAGCTTTCAAGAAAGTAACAAATAACGTTTTTGAAATTGAAATTTTTGCGACAGCTTAGTATTGGTGTTTTTGAATTTTACTCGCTGTTCGCATCATTTGGAAATTGCTCTAGGTTGAAAAATGAACGAACTGGTAAGCCATGACAATCCTGATGCGAGGTGAATATTCTTATGATCACGTTCTATAACTATGGACATGCATCAAGATATACTGCCCTCATGCTCAAAGTACTGTTTAGTTCAGAGTTTTCTGCTAAGTGAGCCTGATGTGCGTTAAGATGTGGTAAGCATATGGGTTGCGGTTTGATCTGGAGTCCGAAAAATAAACACCAATTTTGTGTTCATGCGTATCTCAAATGCTTTTGAATCTTATACTTTCACCTTTAATTTCCTAATTTCAAAAGTACTCAAAAGCGAGTATCGAAGATAATCAGCGAGCTGCAAACCTTCAGAAGTGAATTGGAAGATCCATTTTTCAACAAAGATACGTCTAGTAAATCTCAGACACTCAGGGTACAACCTAAGAAACTAGAGCTGGGAATTTTCTGGTTTTGGTCTTTATGTATGGTACGAACCTAATTCTGCAAAATCGGCGCTTTCCAACCTGCGACATACTCTTGATTTTGTTAAGCTGAGTAACTACGTAATACATCATGAAACTTTAGTTAGCATAGCGCGTTGTTGCGGTGTTGCGAACGAAGCTGGATTACATGCCATTTGACAGCAAGAAAATCTTTTTACCTCTTTGAAAGCTACACCTGCTTTTTGAATCGATCTCAAAATTGAAAGAAAACCCGCAACTGACAACGTGATTGCGGTAACTGGTAGGAAAAGTATGCTTTTAATCGTATATATTCTAAATAAGTGTTGTTAGAATAACTCACAAAGCTTGTGTGGATGACGCCGGCAGTTCAAGTACCAGCAATAGATATTCTTTCTGCATCTCAACGATAACTCTCGATGATTTCCATTCAAAAGCTTCGAGATGTACGGCTGTGATACCCCTGCAAAAAAGGCCAATCACACAGAAACTACCATAACCCGACATTGACATCATTACATACACAACCTTGGTGTATAAACGAGTGGGGTATAGTGTAGAGCGAGAGAGAGAGACACCACAGAGATATCGCCGATCGCAAATGCGCACACTACGGACGACGAACATTGACGGTGACAATCGTCAGGGTTACGGTAGCCGTAACAAAGACGTTCGTAACCCCATCCGCGCTCTTTCATACAATGTCGGGAACGCCTGTTGCGATTTCAACGACCTTGAAATTGTTATCTTGCGCATAAAAGGATAACTGACTGATTATTACACTTCTGTCAATTGACATAAAGGACATGATGATTCTTCAATGCTTTTAGGTGCATTATTTTCCGAGAAGTTCTTTCCGTTCACTGCCAGTTTTTCTAATCGAGTATTTGTGTGTATAATCTTGCTTGCTAAAAAACATTGACTCAACTAATTTATACAAAGGATGGGCCCGCTAACACGTTATAATTCGCAGCATTACAGGCCGCAAAACACATTCAGCACATACAATATCTGTCATTATAATGGTGTCAGTTCGTAAGATAAATTCTATCTATTAGATTTTCATAAATTCAAGCCCTGCAGTAGGCGTCACGTTATACCGTATTGATGGATATCGTCAGATCAGATAAAGACTAGTGCGCGCGGTTTGCATACCGTAACTAGCGCGGAAAATCGCTTTGCACTGGTCAACAGCAGCGAGTTCCTTCTCTCCTTGCATAGACTGTTAGAAATTGTATGGCTTCATGGGAGAATATAGAACAGTCAAGCAACTGATAAGTTCAAAAAAGACTAGGTCACCCAAACGAGTCCTTGTGGAAGCGGAGTTTTTATGTGTCACATGGGTTATGCGAGTTATTTTAGTAATAATTCATAATTGATGATCCCCATCATTTTCAGCATCTGTAAACAAGTATTATGTTACATTATGTATTTGGTGGTCAGGTGAGTTCATATTGATCATCGCAGCGATGCTTTTTCGGTGTCTCATGTTTCTAGCAGAATTATGTAAGAAGCGAATTTTGCTCACCTGTCATCATAGCTACCGTAGTCTGCCTGAGGGAGTATTGTGTGATAAATTGTTTCATATCAGCAATACAAGCTTCTTCGCCCTGTTCCATAAACTCGTCCAGCTCTTCGGGTCTGTCCAATGTGGTGATTTCCTTCATTGGAGTTCTCAAACTCCGAATGGGTCTTCCGCCGGCGTTATTTTCGTATCTCGGTAGTGAGGGCTGGGCGGTCGTCGTGGAAGGAACCGCAGCGGCTTCAGAAACGTTCACGGAAGGGTCTAAGGTCCGTGAGGTTGTTGGCTCGGAAGCTGCCGAAGCCGCAGGAACGGTTTGAACGCTGAGTCGCTCAGGTGATGTGCTAGCCTGCGGCGGTGAAGCCGAGATCGTTACCGGAACCGGAGGTTGAGCCTGAAGCGCCTGAAGTAGCATAGGGCTAGTGTTTTCCACTTGTTGCGTCTGTTGCTGTGCTTCCAGCGATGTCATCAAACTTGATAATATTGATGTTTGTGGTGGCGGCACATCGAGTGAGTTGTCGACCTGCTCGAGTTGTCGGAATGCCTGAAAATACATACAATCAAATCTATACACAAGCATGCGTATGCTGGAAATTTCCTCTAGCATGTTTACACTGGCCCAAGCAACGGCTCTGTTTAGGTAGCAAATGTTGCGCCGCGGTTTTTTTCTCTCCTTTGAGAAATTTAGTGCTTACGTTGTGTTGACACAGTGCAGAGCCGTTTTAAGAGCAGAGGGCACATGCAAGAATTTTGTGCACTCCACGAGACAGGTCGCAGTTACTTGCTGCGATTACGGACATTGCATAGAACGATGCTACATTAAGGGAGACATAGTAGAGAATTACGGTTCAATAAAAGCTGAAAAACAATTCGATTTTTGCTTGGATACAGCTGAAGGCGTTTGAATGCTATGAAACTATAGCGGCAAAAACTTTAAAAAACAATTAGAGGCGATTTGTCAAAGCAACAGTTGTCCACGTAATGAAGTAAGCTGCAGTTCAAGCCCTGAAGAAGTGTTGTTGTATTGAAAGAACCGTCAAAAATCTAGGAGACAGTGCAGATCTGTTCTCTGGTAAAAGTCGATACTGTGCCAGTGTAGATCTGTGCTCTAACAAAAGTCCATACTGTGCACGAGTTATTATGGGGGATGATATAGAGATATGTATTTTTTTTGTTCCGCTTTGTACAAAATTTCACTTGCGAGCGGCAGCCACAGGACTACTCCTCATAAACATAGTTTTTTGTTCACTTTTTCTGCGCTTTTTTTCCGCGCTTAGTTGTCTTTGTCCTCTCTGAAATATTGCTGCCCTAAGTTTTAGTGCAAATGCAGATTTTACACAGCCGCTGCAGCAATGTGGTGGGGTGTGCGCTTGCTTACTGTATATGCCGTATCGTGCACGTATGCATTTGAATCTTTAAGATCTAACTGATCTAATTTGCCTATATTCTTCGTGGTGCACTTTTCGAGGTCGCCGTTCATAATGTTCAATGGACACTACACACATACGCGCATTCTCTCGTAGGTATGTGTGTACGACCATCATCGACAAAAAAGTGCATGTGCACGGATGACTAGTTTGAAAGAACGTTTGATAGACTAGACACTAACTATATGCTCATTATCCACGATCAACAGCAGGAAAAGAGGTACCGCCGGCGTATTTGGACGCCGAATATGCTCGGCTATGCTTGTGGTCCCACAACGAAAAGTGTTCTTTGATAGTAGATTGATGCGATGTGTACGTGCGCTCAAATGCGTTCGGTGTGGTTTACGATAAAACGTCAACATACGCTATACACTATGAAGAATTGTGTGCGTATGCGTGTGTATGAGTGGGGTGTTCACTTAATAGAGTAAAGAACTGTTGACATATGAAGACGAACGCTAGAGAGATAGATAGAGTAAGAGAGTGTGTACGTTTAAGAAAAAAACGCGCAGTGCGTACGATTAGCGGACGAGTTCACCATGGAACGCGGGACGCGAGTATGACCGGAAAAACTTGATAGCGCTTTGTCTGCTGCATTAGTGCATGAAGAAGAGCGTAACATAATGAATAAATGTACATAAAAAAACGCAGAGGAAACGTAGTGACTGAAGATGGTGTGAAATATGTAGAACCACTACTTATAGTGAGGAGCTCCCATAATGTCCCGAGAAACCTTTTGATGACCAAGTTAGTGGGCAAAAAGTCACAAACAACATCGCAAAGACGCAGAGTAATTTTATCCATTACTCACCACCCAATGTCAAAGCTTTCTCTGAACACTCCGAAGAATTTATATTTAGACCTAGAACCTGCTACTCAATGTGTCAGAACTAAGCTCACTGCATAAAACCGACTCCACGAAAACCAGATTCTGTAGATCAGTACAAGTGCGAAATGTGAATCAGCATTTGTTGCACTTTCACAATACGGCAAAAGCGAGAAATGCGTATCTGGTAAGGGTAGTATATCCCTATTAATACCTAATTGCAAAGAATTGCACTGGCAGACGAAAGTCCTGCAAGATCAGCTGTGCTTTTTTCTGTTTCGCTTGAATGCGTAGAAGAAGTAACTGAAAAAGCGGTAATCCTTAGGTTACAAATAACAAAGTAGTATATGAATAGTAACACATTAGCGACTGATCCATCATCGAGTCCATAAAAAGGTCGCAGGAAAAGTACCTAATATTAGCTTTCAGTACAAAAACACTCAGCGATCCACGATTGTCACCGGTTGATCTGTGCGAGATCCGACCGGTTTGCTTGAAGCTGGACAACTGCAGAGAAAATTTTGAGACATCTGCCTTTTTTCCTGTTTCTAAACAGGGAAATTGCTGACAAAGTTTTTGAACAAAGGGAATGTTGAGAGGTGATCATCGCCTTTTTATCCTCATGGTATACCGGGATTGGTGACACTTAGAAAGGAAAAAGAGTTGGCTGCGTAGTCAAGATGTGCCCTCGTTTTATTGCGTTTTATTCAAGAAAATGGAAATGTTGGCCCCTAAGAAAAAGTGAATGTTGGTGCAAATGATAGGCTCAGCTTCATCCCATTATCGAACTCGTGTTTGAAATAGCTAATCAACATCGTTCGCTGTTCTAAGGTGATTTCAGACTCACTGCTTCTAACTTGGGTCTAACCGGGAAGTCTCTATCAAAAAAAGTCAAAAGAGAAAAAATTGTGTAGAAATCATTCAAGAATTACCTCTGCAACTTGAGCAGGCGAGATACCAGTACTTCGTAAACGTCGTATGAGTTCCAGCTGTTCGACAGTGAATAATATCATCTGGAATCAGGCACACTGAAGTGTATATAGGATTTATTTTGGCTGAAAACGCAAGACAACAATAATAAGAAAATTCAGCACTCTCGTGACAGCACGGTTACGGTATCGGCACTATGGTGGGAGATGACTGTTTAGAATATGTGGAAGGTGTGCGTCGCGGGCAAGCTTGCAACAACGATCCTGTTTTACCGAAGTGATACCAGCCAGGCTAGGTTCGAGGTAATCACACCCACAGCCCGATAACTATGCCTGGGGGTGGAGAGAGAGCAACGATGGTGTGAGTGTGAGTGTGTGGAGTGTGTGGTGTTCGCCGAGTAGGCGTGGCCAACACAGCAGCGCGATCGGGGTCAACGCGATGAGAGATAACACCAGAGAACGTATAGTATTCGTCCCCCGTGTGCGTTCGTTCTACACGAAAGTGCACGTGCACTCTTTGCAAATGGGCGTTTCTACGCGCTGAATTACGCACGAGCAAAAGCGAAACGATATCGCGTCGCGCTGCGCGAGCGCAAAGCATAGTTGCGCGCGATGCGATCGCGCGCGAAATGTCGGAGTGACAAGCAGCAGAACGGCCTACAGTAACCCGACAGAATATTCTCAGCGTTTGACTAGTGATGCAATATAAAGGCTTAGAGGACCTTAGACTATGGGAACACCCCGGAGACAGATGGGCTCTTACAAATGCTTCGAATGATAGAGTTCTTGATTCGGCCACAATGGTAGCCGTGTCTGTTTTCTCTACTTATATGCGTTTCGCTTTTTGGCTCATCTGAATAAAAGTATACGAATGAATGAAACGCTTGCACCATTTTTGAAAAGTACGTTCCGTTGCCTTTAGGGCTTATTACCACGATTTCATTGAATGCTGCTCATATCGGCGTGTATTCCAGAAGGGAATGCTAGCACCAGCGAATACTATATGCGCCAGCCTCTCGTGGACTATTGAAACGTTGCAAGTATCCTAAGAAATAATGAGATTGATTCGCTGCCTTTGGTGACAAAATGGAATGAAATAGCGTTTGCTGGAAGACTGCTCTGAGGTTAAATATTCTTCTCGAGGGAAGCACAGCACATCCTCAAATACGAGTGGTCAGCACTCCACCCTAATGAGGTAAAACAATCAAACACGTTATAATAGGCTAAGGATGAGTCATGTGTTCAAAGCAAGTTGGTTCTTCTTGTTTGTGCTCTATGTCTAAAACAGATTGCAGAACTTTCAAAAATTTCTGCGGTAGGATAAATCCATGAAAATTTTTTCAGAATTGAGAGTTCTTTGGCTTTACTGTACTGCTGGTTGATTAACATACAATCTCATAGAAATGGTTAAGCCGATGAAAATCAAATTAGCTGAAGGAAAGTCATTTGAAGTTTCTAAAGATGCACAAAGTCAATGAAACTGCGAAAAATCTCCAGTTTTGGAAAAATTGCAAAGTTGTATGAGGACGACCCTATTTTCGTGGCTCTGAGAGCTGGAGTTTTTTTTCTCAACCTGCTGTAAGGAAATCAAGCTGCTATAAATGGAAATGAGACAAGTATTGGAACGGAACTTATGCAAATGGTATAGAAGAAAATTATATTTGATGTGAACGCAAAAGTTTATGGGCAAAAGCAAACTACAAACTACAAAAGAAATGCTTCATCAAAGGCATTTATATATTTCTCATTCGCGCGCATTATTCATATAGTTTATTTGTTCGCAGTTTCGATGTTATGTTTGCTAATACTTCCCGGTTGATAATAATTAGGCAATTTATGCTACATATCGTGTGTACCATTATGCGAGGAATATTGTGTGAAAATTTTCGCTTTTCTTAACAAATGTTTGGCAAATATCAAAAGCAGCTAGAACAGAAAAGCTTCCACTTTCACTCATCACTTCATCGGAATTTCGAAATTAGAAGGGTTGGTTTTTTGTGTAGACTGACAAAACTTGTGCAAAAGCGGAATTATCACACTGATAGATTAAGTGGTGGTTTAGTGAAAAGTGATAAATGAAAAACGGCTGATGTAACAGTAACATTCCTTTATGTGAAAAGTTTTTGACTAACTTCTAGTTTTCTCAAAGATGAAGAAACACAAGCGATAAGAGTACATTATAGCTTGACTATTCGTTGTTGTTTTTTCATCACGAATACAATGGTCACGAGTCAGAAATTCGCCTTAGAATCACTCCCCCGTAGAAGTTTTGTTCTTTTAAACCACATGCTGCTGTTGTTGACAAAAGTGACAGCGAATACTGCATGATTTACTACAAATTTTCTTAGATGTGAAATGTTGTTGAAAAGTCTGACGGTACTCTGAGTGGCGTTTATTTAAGCGTGACAAAAGTTTGCAAATGTTATTCCAATAAGCTATCTTCAGACAGCTGCATAAGTGCAGAGAATCTCGCAGCAAAAACTAGCGTTTAAATTTGGTCTTGCTAGCAAAAATTCTTTTTTTACACGGAATGTGGTTTCAACCTTTATAGCAGAAAATATCTAGTTGCAAATTAACAGAAATGCACAGTCATATGCGCGTAACGTCACTTTTGTCACCTTACATTTAATTCTACCTACAGAATAGAAACTTTGTCAGTAAAGAAAAGACCAGGGCGCGGCGCAGTTGGGTATAATTAGCTGGTCTTTAATTCAAAGCAAGAAAGAAGCGCTGAAGTTCGGAGGGGGGGGGGAGGCTCGAAAAATCCGATCATACGCAAAGGCGTAAATCTGTGTTGTCAAGCATGTGTCTGTTGTTATAGAATTTATGGAAAGTAGCATTTTCTAGAAAAATAGCTTTTTGAGACTTGCATCAACTGCAGCTAACCACTCTAGTCAACTAGAGAGAGAAATTTGCGAGTTATTGAGAAGCTTGATTCTAAAATGGTAATATTTAGCTCGTACAAAGCCTTGACAAAATTTACTTAACTGTACCTTGGAACGCATAAGTCTATCGACTAAATGTGCTAGAAAAAGCTTTCTAACAATGCCCATAATACCTCGATATCACAGCGCGTTATCTATGCCATATAGGTGTTTGCACATATTTTGATTGGAACGGATCGAACGTCCTGAATTTTTCCAGTACGGCTTGTCCTCATATCAGTAAAACGATGCTATCACGTTATCTATACGTATACTTGACTGGCGTTTTTTTTCGGTCGTTAATGGTACGTTCACTAATGAACGTCGACAGTAACCATAAACAACTTTTTCGAGAATGTTAAACAACTATAGTGATGAAATTCTCTGATTACGAAAGATTGAAGTGGAAGGTGGAAGAGGTGAATCATTTCCATTAAAACTGGTTAACCATATTGAAAGTTGTAAATATCGATATAATTGATGTGTGCCCAAAACAGCGCTGTTGTCTCACATTGGGAGCATATAATTCCCGTCACTAGGATTGAAAATTCTGAAAATGTCCATAGCTTCTCTACTGTATACGTAAAAAGGACAACGCGTTGGCAAGTAAAGGTGTTTCAAAGCTTCCCGAATCTTATGCCCATAATTCGTACACTTGGTTAGGCATCTATCAATCATATGTAAAACTGTGTATCTTCATTAGGAAATTAGATTTACAAACGTAGTTCAAGCGATAGTCACTTGCGATTCTGTGATAGTGATCTAGAACAAAAGCAGTTTGAAGGCGCAGATCTTCCAAAGCTTTTCCACATCTTTTTGTAAGAAAACTAAGTATATCTTTGCGACTATAGGGTTGGAACTTGGCACGTCAAAAATCTTCCAAGATCGGCTCCCAGATTCGTGTGGAGGCGGGCTGCGGTTCCCTGATTTCAAGAAAGCTTAAAGAGAGAGTACGAAATATAGTGCTGTAACGTGGAGGTTTAACATGTTTATCCTGAAAATCAGAGTCCGCAACCCGCCTCCCACGAATCTTGGAGCCGACAGTCAGACAGATATCTCGTTATCTGCATGGTTTGAGTTTCTTGCCTTTGTTTCATCAGTTGACTATGAAGAAAAGCAAGATTTTCATAAAGGATAGGAGGGTTTATACGTGACTTCCTGTTTTTCCTGAACGAAAAACCATGTTATTCTCAGCAAGCTGTACAAGAAAGGCAATAGAAATTGCGATCTTACATCGTTTGCCATTTCTCACAAGAAATGCATGACATCTCCGTTTTTGCTTGCACTTTTTTTGATCACTAAATGTTCATACATTTTAACGGGCCTATATGCTATGTATACACAGAACAGCGTCTATACATTTTATATATATCTTTCGAGCGTTCTCTGATACTTCCGCTTTTGTTTAACGAATTTTCGATGAGCAGCTTTAGAGCAAGATGGAAGGGGTATGAGTTTTGGTATTATCATGAAAATCTTCCACGCGTCGACAAGAACTGCGGTCTCGCTCTAACGTAGAGACTACCCTTACTAAATCTGCTTTACCATTTATGAATAGGGAATTGCTCCATAATCTTGTGCTCTTGTGCAAACTGTAAATCTCAAGAAAAAAATGAGAGGTAGAGACGGAGTAAGGTAAATGTCAGATAAGGTTGCTGTGCTATGCGCTGATTACATGGATGATGTCTAGCATTGCAGATTTGTTGCGTAAGCTTTTTTCCCTATTTGGAAATCATCTCATTTGCGTGTATCAAATGCCAAATGAACCGGATGGTTTTGATGATTATAAGTGAGCTTAAATGCTCAGAGCTTTCTGATTTCCGCATTGTGATCGGATCGATAAGTAGAATGAATCATCTTATTCATATAATTTGTACAATCACATTACCTAATTACGTGATGCTCTCTGTTAACGTCAACTCGCTTTTTGCTTTTATTGTGACAATAGAAAAGTGCTAGCAGTGATAAACAGAAAAATGCTAATAGCGATATTTCACATCTCTTACATGATTTGTTACAAGATTTGTATGAGCAGAGCATTAACAATAACTGGGACTTCTTTTTAAACCCTGAAAATGCATTTGTGACCAGACATTCGAAAGAGATGGACAATATCAATATGCTTTGTAAGGAAAAGCGGTAGATTATTAGCCGAACAGT